TAATTTGGCGCCGAACGCATGGCTCTACTGGTATACAGTCCATCTGACCAGTTCCAAACTGGCCAGGCCATCTGTTCTTCAGTAGCCCATCACTTCAGAAAAGCCAAAGCTTGCAGAAAATATTGTAAGGACAATTGGCCTCTCATCAACCCCGATTGCAGAGCTGGCACAGGAACCTCTGTTCTGTCCGTCCTCCCACAACCAGTGAAGAACACGTATCCCTCGCATGAATACACTTACCACTCTTCGTGATGAACAACGGAGTCGAATACTGAATAGTGGTCTCGCCCTGAATCCTTCTTGGCTCTGTCTGTACACCTTGATCTCGACATCGTCGCCTTCTTGAGCCACGCAGCTCTTCAAGCGGAGGTAGATCATCTCCGGTAGGATAAGGAGCGGGCGGGGGTAAGTAGGAATCAAACCCGCCCGAGGTGTACGTAGGTGCTGGCGCTGCTCGTGCCGAGGAGGAACTTGACGTCGTGGCAGGGGTTGGGCTGGCGAGCCCTATACCCTGCAACTCTTCCCGAACCGCACTCTGTAGCTTCCTCAACCGCCGAGCCTCCCGAGACTCGGACTCGTCAGGCTGAAGCCTGCTCCAGATCTTCTTCACAACCTCCCACACAGCAATCCCAGCAATAACCAACAGGAAAACCAAGCCATATAACTCCCAGGGAAAAGTCACCTCAATATCCGGTTTCGCCTTTTTGCCCGCAACAGGCTGCGTAACGCAGTATAAGACCACCAACACCTTTAGCAAGGCTTGAGCCCCACAAAGTCTCAAACGAAACGCACTTGCATCTTTGTTGGCTCTGTCTTCCTTCCCTGACTGCTGGCCTTCGGCTTCTTCGTACTTGATCAGGCCCCACATGTTCCGCAGATCATACAACCTGACCGCATCAAAGGCTTTGGTCCCTAGGTCTGCGCGTTGCTGAAGGCCTGGGATATGCGAAATCGTAAGATGTCCTTCTCGAACAGCTTCCCTAAGGGCATGTGCCCTGACTCGGAGATGCCGAGTCCTCCACGTGCCAGGGGAGTCGGTGCAAAGCCCGACCGAAGCACTGTTGTCAACATACAGTGCTCGGCGAATTGGTACCAAATTAATCTCACACGTCAAAGCTGCGATTCCGGCCTGCAGCTGCACCGAAGCTACGGCTTCTATGAGCTCGGCCTCTGCCGTACTCAAAGCCACCAAACTTTGGCGGCCGGACCGCCACGCAGCAGCATTTCCATGGTAGGTCACCAAAGAGCATCCTATCGACCTCCCTCCAGAGGGACTGAAGGAGGCGTCGGAGTAGGCGATCACGTCGTGGGGCCCGTCTGCTCCAGCTGTACCAAACATCAAGGATAAATGCGCCGTGGTGTGCAGATAAGCTAATACTCTGCTTCCAATTCGCTCCACCAATATCGGATCCCGTAGGCATAACGAGCTCATGCTGGCAACAGAATGCATCAAATCGGGTCTCGATTTGGTACTCAGCCAAAGCAGCTCTCCTGTCATCTGCTGAGCCTTACGAAGGCTCCTTTCATCGTAGGTCGTCTGCTCAATCTCGCCATCACCAAGGAGCCACTCACGAGGGCATGGGGTACGTGCTCCTGGGCCCTCTGACAAGCCGTGATGGCGTAGCAGTTCTTTGATGTACCCAAGCTGGCACATTCTATAGCCGGACTTGACCTTGTATATTTCAAGCCCTAAAAACCTAATCCCTTCCTCTGAGGATGCCCACGACAAAGGACTGGAGGTCCATTCTGAACTCAGCCACTCGTGTAGTTGTTGGATCGTCTGAGGCTCTCCCAAGTACATAATGTCGTCAACATAGACGATGAGATAGGCCAGCGCTTC